TAAAATAATTTATCTTTCAAATAAATTAATATTTAATATTATTTAAAATAAAATTAGACATAAAAAATAAAAATTAAAATTTGTGATATTTGTAATGAATATTGAGATTCATACAAGAAATTATTTTAAAAATATAATAATCATAAAATATTATTTATTTAAATATTTTTCCAATGATTGTAGTAAATATAAAATTTATAATCCGATTTTGAAATTGTTATAAATACATCATATAATCATACATTTTTATAATCATAGTTTGGCAAAATATAATATATATTGACAAAAAATAAAAATAAAAATAATTTTGTAAATATAATATTGACAAAATTAATATTTATTAATTTTAATTAATGTTATATGGATAAAGATAATTTTAAAATTTCTTACTAAAAATCATGATGAATAATGAAACATCTCTTGTACATATCTCATACAATTTTCGATAAATTTTGATTATCATTTATTCTGATCTTTACAGAATTTATCGGTATTAAAGAAATTCATTTATTAATAATTTCTAAAGATTAAGTGGAAAATATACACAAAAATAGATAGAATAAATTTCTGTATAACAAGTAATCAATAGATATTGTTTAAAGATTAATTAATCAACTTCAATCAAAAGAACCTAAATTATCAAAATACAATAAAATAATTATTCCATAAAAAATATTCAATAATCTTTATGTTTAAATATAAAATTTACTTACTCGAAATACCAATATCGCTAAGCAGAAACCATTCATAAAATTACGATATATCGACGAAAATCCCATCGAATACCATATTTCAATGATGTTTCATCGGTTGTTTGTACGATTTCTGTTATTCTCCGTTACATAAATTTGTGGCAACTCGAATGGGAAAAGGTTTCACGACGGAATACCTCGCGTGCGTTCACAGTTTCTGGAAACGTTGTTCACCGTCACGAAAACATTGACTTATGGGATGTAAATTACGCAATGGACCAGTAGGAGGTTGAGAGTATCGCGTTTCAGCTTGTCGGCAGGTAATCGTTTTTAGTATGCCGTGATCAACCGTGTCTCGCTCGTGAAGATGTCGAAATAAGAATCGAGATGACGGATGGGTGTGAGATTTTTTTACTTTTTTTTTTTTTTAATACAAAACATGTGCCCAATCGACCCAATTATATAATATCTATCTGAGCATTTTGATTCGATGATCTCTTAAATTAAATTAGATTTAGTTCCGTAGTAGTAACTAAATCGTCTAGACTGAAATGATGATTGTCAGGTAATTTAGAGAATTGACAACTGTATTTCAGAATGAGAAATGGAATAAATCTTAAAACTAGTCTTCTAGTGTTTATTCGTTTTCAGATTGACACACAACTTGCTTGATATTTATCATAACACAAAATATGCACATGTATGCTGTCCTTAAAAATTTTTTTTAAATAATTAAATACTAGAGATTTTAACAGTAATTGCAAAAGTCTATGGTTGCTTATGAAGTGCTCCTAATAGTTTTGAGATTATTTTTAAATGCAAATCTGCATAGTCGTTTGCGAAACTCGACACAACATGAAGTTAAGACTACTTTCGAAACATTTAAGATAGCTTAAAGATAGATTGTAGAAACATTTATTTTAAATTTGGAATTGTTTTTAAGTAGAAGATCTGAATAAGTTTATTGCAAAATTTAAGAAAGGATAAAGTTGCTTTTGAAATATTTGTTTTATGTTGGATTTTTATATTTATTATATTATTTATTGTAAAATTTTGTCTTTTCATGGTTATTATAAGAAACGAAATGAACATTCTATGTTTATTTTAAAATGAAAGAGAACATTTCTGCATTTATATTCTAAATTTTTATATATCTTATAAAAGTTGAACTAATAAGTTATGTTACCAACTTATTAATTCTGTTTTATATGAAATATTATGTTTAGTTATATTACATTAGTATATAGTATATAGTATATAGTCTATATTAGTATATAGATTATAATAGATTATATATAAATCAATTTTTTTATTGGTGAAATATCACATCAATAAAATTAATTAGGAATAAAATTAATTTTTAATGTATTATTTTATTATTATTATTTTCGTTTTTTTAAATACAACTTCAATATGAAATAAAATAAAAAATTTTGAAAATTATAAAATAATTAGATAATTTTAATGTTTGGTTATCTCATTAAATTAAAAAATATTTTTAAGTGAAGTTTTATAACAAAATATGAAAAAATGATGAAAATTTGGAAATTGAATAAATTATTTTGTGCATAATCCATTATACAAAATTTTCATTAAAATTAAATTTTTCAAGTTTGATGAATTTCCTTGTAAAGTAACATATATATATACTATAGTATATATATATATATATATATATAGTATAGTACTATATATATAGTACTATATATATATATTTATATATACTAATAGATCCATAATTCATGATATAAATATTGTCAAAAAAATTCTATGACTCAAAATAAAAAAAAAATATAAATAAATATAAATATAAATATTTTAATAAAATAATAATTATATATATTAATATATTATAAATATATACATTTCTATATAAATAATATTTATTATCAATTAATTCGTGTAATAAAATCTTCACAAATTTTCTTTCACACTTTTCCAGAAAATTTCTTTGTTCGCAATAAATTATGCAATACAATTACGAGAATCCGCGAATTTTCTTAGGACCAATTGCAATAAAAAAGGAATAAGGCAAGCCTCTCGTCCAGAACATAGAATAAAAAAGAAGAAGAAGAAGAAGAAAGATCGTGACGTCGCATCGTTAATTTTCTTACCGCCTTCGTCGCATGCAGGGCGAAGTGTAACGTATATACCACCGGAATCGAAGTAGCACGACGACTACGACGACAACCAGGAGAGCTTAAAATGCTAATGAACGGGTCGGCTCGCTCGACCACGCCGCTGATTCCTCGTCGACACGCTCGTTCCATACTTTCACGCGTTCGAATTTATCGATATTTAATTCGTCGTACGATCAGGTGGGCCCACTACTGCCGATCGTCGTTTCTGGATCTCTCAATGTCGCTGTCACGCTAAATGGTACACGATGAATCCACTCGAGGCCTGCAATATCTCGATGGTGATAACGTTTCGGGTTAAATTGATTTCGTATCGAGAATCAGAAATTCGTTGCGAATTTTTGGAATGGGAAATTCCACGTTTGATTGTTTCGATTTTGTTATTCATCGATGGTAATTAATTCTGAAAATTTCTTTTTTTGAGAAGGGGAGGGAGGGTAGATTTATAGTAGAGATTACTAATTTGATACATAAATTTAGATGATGAATTGAATTTAATAAAAAATTGTTCGTAAAATGAATAATTTCGTATTTTAATATAATGTAATATAAGCAAAGAATTTTTAATAAAAAAATATAGATATTACGCAATATATTTTCTATGTTAATGCGTTTAATATATTTTGATATTGATATATTAAATCATAATTTTCTAAACTTTATTTTTTTCAAATATAATGTAAGTATAATATTATCTCAAATCTCGGAAACTTATCTACTAAATCATAGTTATTTTTTATTAAGGAAATATGTTATTTATTTCTTTTTTTCTGTGAATGTACGGGAGTATACATATATTATAGTTTATTAATGCTTATGAAACTTGAGATTAATTTTAATGTAGAGTCACAGTTGCTTAATGAAATTCATGTAAAAGACATTAATAACGCTTCGATGGATAAATTATAGAGAAACGAATTTAATATATGCAGAATTTATGCAATATTATACATGTATTTAAATAAATAACTATTTGAATTTTAAGTTTATTCGTTAAGTTTATTAATTTCAAGTTTTTATTAATTAGAATTTAAAGAATTAATAAAATAAAATTGTCTCTCTATTTCTATGTTTATATTATTATTTCTTATTAATTTTTCTTATCGCTCAATAATAAATTTCATAAATTGAACTTATTCTTAGTATCATTAAAATTTATATTGTTACAACTGTAACAATAATTTTTTTTAAGACATGTAAGATGATACAAAAATGTGAAAATTTTTAATTTATTTAGAACTGTCATATCAATAATAAAATTTATTCTTCGATGCATAATAATATATCAATCATTATTATCAATTAATAACACTTCAACACTTATGTTCTACCAATTGATCTATTAAGTACATCATATCGATAGTTTTAAAATTCTTTATTTTTTGCAATTATTAAAAACATATAGAAATGCTTATATGCTTATATGCTTATAAGATAATTTCAATTTTTTATTTGAGATTATTATTTTAATTATTAGCTCAGTTATTAATTATTATTTCTTAGTAAATATATATATATATATATATATATATATATATATATATGTTTTTTATTTTAAAATAATCCTCATATCATAAATGATAATCTCTCAATCTTCCCAATCTTTTTCTATGAAATCTCGTTACGTTTACATAGGAAAATTCAAATACCAAATTTTTAAAAAAAATCTTTTCAATAATAATAGAAGAATCATTAAAAGAGAATGAAATCTACTTGATTACAGAATGATCAAAATAATTCAGCCGTTTACTAATATTAATTTGCATCACTATACTTCACATTACAACAATACGACATACGACGAATTACTAAATTTTCTACATTTCAAAAATATTCTTCTTAATTCCTCCCAAAAATTTCAAACTTTTAAAAGAAATTCAATAACAATAAAAGGATGCATTAAAAGAGAGAGAAATCTACTTGATTATAAAATAATCGAAACAATAATAATCAGGATTGCCATTTACTAATATTAATTTCCATCATTATATTCCATTTCACATTACAACAATATCCTCTCATGTAATCATCTCTCTTTATACAGATATAAAATCTTCTCTATTAAATCAATTTGTCCTTGTACATTTAAGAAACTTAAAAGAAAAAAAAAAATCTCATCGATAACAATTGGAGAGCGCATTAAAATAGAGTGAAAATGACTGAATTGCAGGGTGGTCGGAGCAATGGTGATCGGGGCTGCCGTCTGCGGCCGTATTCCCGGCCTGGCGAAGAGTCAACGAGAGCAGTGCAGAAAAGCGCCGCACGCGATGCCCGCGGTTGGCGAGGGCGCGGAACTGGGACTTCGCGAGTGCCGGCATCAGTTCAGACATCACCGTTGGAACTGTTCCCACGTGGCGAACGATCAGGTCTTCGGCCACGTGGTCGTAGTAGGTAAGGATTGTCCTGTCACCGCGGCCTGCCCGCTATTTATTATACCGTGAAGGGCCGCCGCGTTTAACGCCGGCCTATCTCCGCGTTCAACGCGCTCTAAAAGGCCGTACAAGCGGTAATGGATGCGAATATCTTCGGTATTTCGAGCGTGGTGCCGCCTTGCCCTACTGTATGCTGCATGCAGGATGAGCCGCTAACTTTAATCTTGATTATCTCCGTTACTTTTTGAGATTACAAAGAAATTTTGTTTGCAAAAATTTCGTATGTTACGAAAGATAATATCGCGTCTATATTCACGAAACGCTCCGCCGTTTGTTTTAATTGAATAAATGGCTGTATATAAATATAAGTGAAGAATTCGATTTTTCTTAAGTATGAAAAAAATAATAGAAGAGCAATTATTGGATTTAAGAAAATGCGTAAATTTATAATTTAATTTTTAACTTTTGTATAAAGTACATAGTGAATTTTCTAAAATTATCGTTATTGACTTATAAATATTATCTAAAATCTTTTGTCAAATTATAAATATTTTGTTAAACTTAGGACAGATCTTCTTATACATAAGAATTTACGATATATTCTAGTTGTTTTATAGTATATGATATGTCAAGATTATATTGTTTATGTATTTAAAAATTATTATATTAGTATTTTAATTTTTATCAGAAATCTAATGCTATATATGAACTATATATGAAGAAGAAAACTGGATACAATTTACAATAGTTTACATACGGTTGCATGAATTTTGCATTATAAAATCTTATTTGCATTCATTGTTTAAAAAAATGAAAGTAATTTTAAAATTTCAAAAAAAGAATTACTATCATATTATGGCTCCCTTTATATCATACAACTTTTTAAAAAGTTTTGTAAACAAAATTTTTTAAATCCAAAAGTAATAGAATAAATTATTTATGATTTAAAAAAATCACTATATTATATATTTATTTTGTTAATCAAGTAATTTAATACAAATAATTTTTTTTATAGATGGACAAAGTTTTTTGTAAATATATATGTATAATATTTTTTAATATTAAAATATCTCATATTTAATTATTGAATAATTTATTATATATTATTTATATTTAATAATAATACAATTAATATTATATCATACATTTTATACATTTTATATCTTCTATATTACACATCGTTATAATAATAATTATAATATAAATATAATTCTTATTTACCAATCTTTCTATCAAAGAATTTCTATCAAAGAAATTTGAATGAAAACGGTATTCCATGTTAAATTTTATGTTTCTAAGATAACACTTTTAGATCAGAGAAATTACAAGCTAGATTTCTAATTTTTAATCAAATAATTCCTTTTATCAAATCAGATTCATCTGCATACGTATTAGAAAAGTTTCCGAACGAAATAAAATTCAAAGAATCAATTTAATGCCGTTAGAAGCCAGCTTTTCTTCGATTATCGGCGTTAAACTGTTTAATCGCATCGTTTACGTGCACGTATATGGATTTGTTACAAAACTAAAGGAGATAAATGACCCTGATGTCAGACCCGTGTTTTATTAGTCGGCCATCTCTCTACCATACTAATGGTCTTTTCATTAAGGATTTCCAATCTTTTATCGTGTCGTCTATTAATTTATATTCTATATCTGTGAAACCGCTTGTCTGGTAGTTAATCATTTGATATTGAAATCCTATTAATAAATCTTTGGAAGTTGAACGTTTCAAAGAAAAAATTATTGGAGTTCGATGTAGGTTTCGCATAGTTGTACGTTTCAATTCAGAAAAGAATTTTTAGAATGTAAGTTCGTGTTACTCGAGTAAGATAAAGAAAGACACAATTTTGAAGAAGGAATATTTTTAAATATGTTGGGTTAATTTTGAAATACGTTTCTCGTTAGATAAATATCGATTGAAAGGATTTATTATCTTACCAATTTATTTTAATATTAGTTTCCGTCTGTTTCTCATTCTTTATAATTTCTTATTTATTTAATTCTTATATTTATTATTTATTATATCATTTTTATATTTTTTATTTTTTATTTTATTTTTTATTTTACGATGTCTACTATTTTATTCTGTTTATTTACTATTTATTTACTTTTTATTTATTTATTAATTTTTTTACAAAAGTACAGCAAATTTAAAAGATTCGTTATAATTAAAAAAAAAAGATTTCGCAATATCTATATCTATTCCGAATTTAAACATAAATAGTCAATTACAACATCATAACATATATGTTACAAAAGTTTAATTAATAAATTATGCTATTAAAAGAATAATTCTATTTTTTATGAAATATTTTGAGTATATGTAGATTATATTAGATTATATATAGAGCAATTTTTTTATTAATGAAATTACTTAAAAAGAATAATAAATCATCTCTTAAAATAACAATATTATTTTCGTTTCATAAAAATAACTTATTTATATTCAAAAAAAAAAAAACAAAAATTTTGAAATATAGATTATTCAGGATTTAGTCTACCAGGATTAGTTTATCATCCTATTATAAAAAAATATTTTCAAGAATTATATACAAAATATGGAAAAATTATAAAAAAAAAGATAAAAATTTTTATAAGGAATATGCTTTATATATAATGTATTATAATTTATACACATAAATTTTCATTAAAATGAAATTTTTCAAGATACATGAATTATCTTGTAAGACATAACATATAAAGATTTTTAAAACTGATTGTATGTATTCATTTTCAAGATCCAATATCTTATCGATCTTTCTCCTCGTTATTATTTCAATTTCTTCACCATTTTCAATATTATTCCATATTATTCATTAGCTAGAATAACTAAGAATAGCTAAAACTTGATCAATAATTTCATACCTTTCATTGACCAGTACAAATTCAACTAAAACGTAACAAATAACATCACGATGAAATAAGTTTATATCTGTTAAATCGATGTTTTCCCGTTCTTTACGATGTGAAGTTTACTTCGAATCCCGCTGCGCTCCTTGTATAGGAATGATAAATTACAATGCCGCACATCCTGCGGTGTAAACTCGAAATTCCCTTTATCACGAACGCATCGTAATATGTACTTTTCTGCCTCGAGCATAATTGTAATTTGTTTCCATCTTTTCAGAAAACCGAATGACTCGACACTCCTGTTGCGGCATATAATGACTTGAAGTGACATAGCATGAGCATGAGAAAGAAGTTTTCATTTTTTCTCATCTAGCCTTTCTATTCTCTTCATATAATATTTATTAAAAATAATATTAAAAATAAATATTATATAAATAATATATTATTAAAATGAATATATTTATTCTTAAATATTTGTGTTAAAAATGAATGAATTATGTGAATTATATACAAAAAGAATAATTTGAGAATAATTTTAAAGATTTTAATTTATCTCTTCTTTACATTAATTGCATAGAAATATATATATATATATATATATATATATTTTATTTATTTAAATCCTAACTTGAGATTAAGAATTAATTATTTCTTTCTTTCGTTAATTTTTTCGTTAATTCTTATTGAAAAAATTGATTTTAGATTTTAATTTGATATTTATTCGTTCTTCAAAAATTAATGACGAATATAATATTAGAAAGATTATAATCCATTATATAAGGATTCATTAAAAAAATTAAAATAAGAACATTGTCAGATATTTTCCTTAACATTCTATATATTTAATCATTAAAAATAACAAATAAATAGAAACAAAAGAAATTTCAATTTTATGATATCAAATTTCTTCAATAATATCAAATTATAAACTTTAAACAATTTACATTTTAATGTAAATTGTGGAAAATAAATTATAATAGAAATAGAAAAAAAAAATATTTTTATTTCTTCAAGTAATATAGAATTTTGCAAATAAACTTTTTTTAATTATAAAATAATAATTAAATACGAAGAAAAATTAAAAAATAAATTGCATTTATATTAAAAAATATTTTTAAAAATATTCAAAAATAAGTATTCAATTTTTGAAATTAGTTTCTTTTATTATTAAGTTTCTTTTATTATTAAGTTTATTATTAAGTTATTGTTAAGTTTTTTTTTCTTTTATTATTAAGTTTCTTTTATTATTTGAAAATATAATTGAATTTTGCAATTTTCATATTTATTGACTTATCAGAGTATTAATTTTTCTTTTACATCGTTGAAAAATTATTATCCAACTTGCAAATCATTTTCGCATCTCATTTTAAATTTCTTTATATCTTTACTTTAAAAAGTTTTTTTTCATTAGTCTAAAAATTTGAAAATTACAAAGATTATATAAACTATGTTGTTATTACATGTGTTATCACATTTTCATTTAAATTTTTTTTAGAAAAAAGAAATTCAAATTTTTAATTTAAACATTACTTTCAATAAAAGTATGGAAGTGATATATTTTACAATTGATAACAAATTAAACATGAACAAATCGAAGATATGAATACAACTTTAGAACAATTATAAAATTTAATATTAAAAATTTCTTTAATACATAATATCTCTAATGTATCTAATACAATAATGTAATCTAATACATAATATCTCAAAAGAAAAATTCCTAGAACTTACTTTTTGATTCATGCTCGTAATATTTCAAGTATATTTTTTAAAATTAATATATAATAATATTTTAAATAAACAGTTTTTAATTTTAATATAATTTCAATACATCAATTATTTGCTTAATAATTTTTTTCAATAAGTGAAAACAAAGATTACATGACAGTGATGATATAATATATATATTTTTAAGATTTTTAAAGAATCATGTGATTTTTTAATAAATTAATCGATATAATTCGTTATTTCTTACAAAAAAGTACTAAATTATTTATATCAAAAAATCAGTTTAGAAAATATTTTAACCTAAAGTTTATAAAATTTATATATTTAAATACGAGGAGATGAGTATTACTTTGTTCCTTGTTCTTTATACAATAAGTTTCATAAAATTCAAATTAAAATATTTCTTAAATTATTTGCATAAATATCTTGATACATTTT